TGAGGACAGCGTGGAGCACTGGCCCTCGGAGCTGGGTGCCTGAGCAGACTGGGTCCCGAGGTCTGCTCAAGTCAGCTGGGGCAGGGCCCCCCTCTCTGTATCAGGGGCATGTGCCAATGAGAGACAGCAGCTGGACTGGAAGCCAACCCCTGGGCCAGTCTTTGGGGCCTGGGACTGGGAAGGTTGCTGCCCTCCCCCCACCTCCACCCCCCTTAACGGGTGCCCATTTGCATGTGGGGCCATGCTAGAGGGGTCTTCCCTGGGTCAAAGGATCCCTACACCCCCTCCTCCCATCCAAGAGGAGGCCTGGCCTCCTGGCGTCTTTCCTAGAGCCCACTCACTGCCCTCCCACCCCAGCCCCCCACCTCCTCTGTGTCTACAGCTGGTCAGTGTGCACCCAGCCCATCTCCCACAGCCCCAGGCCTTGCCCAGGGCAGCTTTCGCTGGCTTCCCCTGCAGTGCATCCAGCTGGCCCAGTCACCGTCTGCCTCCTCCTAGTGCCCTCTGCTCTCTGACACTCCGCCACTCCCCACCCATGTGTGGGGCTCACTCCCTGGGCCTAGCCTGGCCTGCTCTGCCTCTAATTTCTCTCCTCCTTCCTCCACATGCCTGGGAGCTGGGCCAGGATTGCATCTTCAGTTCACAGAGTGGCAAACTGAGGCCCCAGCACATGCTTAGTGACAGATCTGACATCTAGACTTGACCTCTGCCCCTCAGGCACCAGGGGCTGGGGTCTTCAGGGTGTGGCCTCCACCTGCCCCGACACTGGACTTCCTGGCTGAAGATGGATTGCCCAGAGCTGGGTGTCAGGGCAGGAGCGGGAGTTAGAGGCTCGGATGGAAGTCACAGCAATATCGAGGGTCACTCTCGGCTCCATGATGTAGCGCTTACAAGTTGAGTTGCTCACTGCAAGGCCAGCAGTTCAAAACCACCTGCTGTTCCTCGGGAGAAAGATGAAGCTTTTTAAAGTCTCAGAAACCCACAGGGCCTTTCTACCCGGTCCTACAGGGTCACTGTGAGTCGGAACGGACTCAATGGCAGTGAGTGTGGTTGGGGTCTTAGCTCCCTCGATGTGCTGTAACAGAATTACCGCAAGGGGTGGCTTTGAGGAACAGACAAAGATTTTCTCACCATTCTGAAGACTGGAAGGCCCAATGAGGGTCTCAGCTTTAAGGGAGGGCAGAGGCAGGCTACCTGACCAGCAGGGTAAGCTGGGGCTGACTGGATGCGGTGAAACCCGTGTGACGCAGTGAGTAAGTAAGCAAGAGTCAGTCCGCGCTTACCCTGCTGCCTAAGCAGGGTTATGGGATTGTGGATTGGCAAAGACGCTTTGGTTCACAGGAAGGTGTGGTGGGTTTGGCGGGGAGACAGGTGCCAAGCACTCCTGGCTGCAGAATCTTGGATGTGGTCCAGCCATGGGGTCTTGTCGCCGCATATTATTAAGTAAGTATGGGGCTGTTTGATGTGTCTGGTTTACTGAGTGATCTGACTTGGAGGAGATCTGACCTCCTTGCAGGTGAACCCAGGAGTCCTTTTGGGAGTTCCTGGGCATTTGCCCCCATTCTGTGCAGCTCCTGGGGACTCCTTAGCACCCCCGTGGGGGGCAAGTTGGCCTGTGTCTTTCTCCATGGGCATCTCTGTGTCTGACCCTGTCATTCTGTCCCTCGAGGTGACCTGACACTGCGATGACCTCATTAACATAACACTAGGAACACCCCTCTTTCCTTGCCGGGTCACCCTCCAGGTGGAGGGTTAGGACCTCAGTCCACCAGACCCTTCCCATCCACTAGGCGCTGTGTCCACCAGCCCTTGCCACAAAAATGCTCCATTCCAACCCTCCCCAAGACAAGCAGAGGCTTCCGGCCACAGCCCTGAGTCCTCGGGCACTGCAGGCCGGTCAGCTCCAGCTGGTCTAGATTGGCTGGGGAGCAGGCCATCTGGGCTGGGCTGGGGGATCTGCTCTGTGTCACCTGTCTCCTGCCCTCCTCCTGAGACCAGAGGCCCGCCTGGCCTGTTTTCCCCCTTGGCCACGGCAAAGCGGCGGAATCCAGGGAAAACACACCAAGGGCCTTGGAGCGGCTCCACTATCACGCCCACCTCCCTCCGCTGCTCACAGCAGGCCCTGACCCCATGGAGGGGACAGGGGAGAGACTTGCAGCATGGCTTGCAGGGAAGAGGGTGGAGTCCAGGGAGAGGGGCCAAACGGGGGGGCCCTCAGCGTGTTCTGCAGAGCCAGGAGCTCTGTATTCCACGGGAGGAAGTGGACTACAGAGAGGTTCAGTGATCTGGCCAAGGGCCCACACTTGCTGAGCATGGATCCAAAGCTCAGCTGCCCCACCATCCCTTCCCTATGGTGGAGGGGGCCAGGGGTGGTTTGCTGGAGGCTATTATTGTTGGGGTGTTCAAACACATGATGACCCCATGTGGTCAGAAGGCGTGCCGTGGGCTAGTCATTGGAAGTGGTCACCAGGCCTTTCTTCCTGGTCTTAGCCTGGAAGCACCACTGAATCCTGTTCAGCATCCAAGCCACCTCTGCTTGGTGGCTGTACTTCTGGGCACTGGCTGGGACTCGAACTCGGGTTTTGGATCTGAGAAGAGACATAGTCCTACCTCTGAGCCACCATGTTCCGCTGGCTTGGGAGGCAACAAAGTGTAAGGTGGTAGCGTGGACCCCCACATCCTGACGGGGATTGAAGCAGGAGACTGGAGGAGCGAGCTCAGGTGGGCAGGTGGCCTCAGGTCAAGACACCAGACTGAGGGGCCCACTGGGGCAAGGACTCAGGGCAGAGATTCCAATGGCTCCCCCACCCACCCCTTACCCCCATTACTGGGACCACAAAGCCTGTACTTCTCTAGATTCTACCTGTTTCCAAGCCCCCTCCCCGACCCCATAGCTGGGGACCCAGAGCCGGACTTCAAAAGTGCCTGCTGGCGGCCAGCCTGTGGAGGCCCCAGCTCACAGCCCCGTGGGGTACGTTTCCATGCCAGCACTGCAGGAAATCCCCGCAACAGGGATCAGAACCAGGGAGGGCCGGACACTGCTGGGCTGTCTTGCTAGTCCAGCAGCTGCTGGGGCTCAGAACTGGCCTTCTCAGGACTGCCCCTTCCTGCCAGCAAGCACTGTTGACCTCGCTGAGTTGAGTGAAGGACAGGGGCAGAGAGGGGTCTCCAGAGCCCGCCTTTCAGCTCCTTCCCACACTCAGTTTTCCCTTCCTGGGAGAGCAGGTGTTATCTCACAGGCAAGACCTGCGCTGGGCTCTGCGTCCCTGGCACACCGCAAGTCACCATCTCCAACTGTGTCCTGGGGAAACAATGCTAGGCGCCTCTCCTTGGTCTGTCAGGGTGTCGGTCCTGGGTGGCTTTCAGGTGCTATGATGTTGGAAGTTGTGCCACCTGGACCTCAGGTAACCGCAGGGTCACCCACGGCGGGTGGGTGGGTTTCGGTGGGACTTCTGGAAAAGAAAAAGACACTGCTCTCTGCTCCCATCAAGAGCCAGGGTCTTAGAAACCCACAGGGGCAGTTCTGCCCAGTCTTAGAGGGTCGCCAGGAGTCAGACCTGACTCAGTGGCAGTGAGTGGGGGGTTTCTCAGCAGCAAGGCCAGGTCATCTACTTCCAAAAGTTGCTGTTGCTGTTATTTGTGGCTGCCTTTAAGTCAGCCCCCTGCTCCTGGGATCCCCGTGTGACTGTGTGGAACTGTCCTGGACCGTTGTCATGTCGGCGGTCTTCAGTGAAGCCTTTGGCCAGGTGGGTTTGCACTGCCAACCTTTGGGTCAGCAACCTGCGAGGGTTACCCCGGGCCCTACCTCCCAAAGTTGGCAATGAGGTGCCTTCAAGTGAGTTCTGACTCCCAGCGACCCTGTGCACAACAGGGTGCCCGGTCCTGCACCCTGGTCACAATCATTGCTGTACTTGAAGCCCTTGTCGTAGCCTCTGTATCCATCCGTCTTATCAAGGGCCTCCCTCTTTTCCCCACCACCCCTCCACTTTACCAAGCACAGGGTCCTTTTCCAAGGACTGTCCCTCCTGAAAATATGCCCGAAGTCCGTGAGACAAAGTCTCGCTATCCTCGCTTCTAAGGAGCATTCCGGCTGCACTTCCTCTGAGACAGATGTTTGTTCTTCCGGCGGTCCCTGGGACTTTCAATGCCCTTCTCCAGCACCACGATCCAAATGCACGGATTCTTCTGCTGTCTTCCTGATTCCGTGTTGAGCTGGCACATGCATAAGCAGTGCTCGGAAACACCCTGACTTGAGGCAGGCACCCCTTCGTCCTCAAAGGGACATCGTTGCTCTTTGACACTGTAAATACAGAGAGTGGTTTATTTCAAGGAAATGGCTCACACCAAAGGATCCCTGGTGGTGTAGGGGTTTACGTATTGGGCTGCTAACTCCAGGTCCAGAGTTTGAAACCACTAGCCACTCCATGGAAAAAATAAAAGGCTTTCTACTCCTGTAAAGATCCGCAGCCGTGGAGACCCACAATTCCATGCAGGGCTGCAGAGAATCAAAATCAGCTGCGCGGCAGTGAGGGAGTGAACCAGCGAGCTAGGGAGTGAACAAGCAAGCTCTTACAAAGACAAGGCCCAAAGGGATGGGTCAGATGTCAGGCTGGGGGCTTCTCCTGACTCACAAGGTGGCAGGGTGAACCCCAGAACAGCAGGTCAGATGACAGGCTGCTGGTTCACGAGACCCAGAGGTCAGAATACATAGGATCTTGAGACAGTGCTCAGCAAGAACCACAGAGATCTCGTGGGGATCCGGTTGAACTGTGGATTCTGATTGAGTCTGGCTGGGGTGGAAATGCAAATTCTCAGCAGGGGGTCAAACCAGAAGGAACAGGTTTGAAGGATAAAGACTTCTACAACCAAGAGGTGAGTGGAGTGTTTCTGGAACGCCGTGGCCCCGAGAAGTGATTGGACACGGTTCCCTGGCGAGATTCCTCGGGGATGCACACCAGTGGCAGGTCCATCACTCAGTGTCTCACTCGGGGCTCCGTGAAGTCTCAGGGTCTTGTGCTTGTGGTCCGGGGAAGACACGTTGGTGGGAGTGTGGGCTGACAGCTGGTGGAAGCCGTGGATGGGGACATGGGCCTTCTTGCTGACATCCAGTGAGGCTCTGTCTTTGTAGCTGCACAATGTCACCCTGGCCCTGGAGCTGCTGAAGGATGAAGGGATCCTCAACTACCCCGTCAGCCCTGAAGGTCAGTGGCAGCCAGACAAAACCCAGGCCCGGCGAGATGGATAGGAGTAAAGTCAAGGGCACATGGCAGTGGTTGGCAGGAGTGGGATGGGGAATGTTTGCTGACCTTTCCTGTGCAGAGGTCATTGCTCCCAGCCTTTCCATCTGCACCATCTGGACCAGTACCTCCAGCAACTCCCCACCCCTACCCCCGAGGTCCTCTCCTTGATGGTGTACCCCCAGTAACCCTCAAAAAGGCAGACACTGGGGGGCTGCTGTGTTGAGGGGCAGTGGCCGCAAGAGTGGTCCAGGTGGGAGAAGGAGAGAGGCAGGTGACGGGGTGGGTGAAGCCCGGCATGACCCGGTCCTGCTGGCTTTCGCTGTCAAGGTCCCCAGCCCTTGGTCCCATGCAGACCAAGATGGCAGGTCCCTTCTTGGGCCTGACTCTTTGCCTGTCCCTTCTGGTCCCAGACATCGTGAACAAGGATGCCAAGAGCACACTGCGGGTGCTCTACAGCCTGTTCCACAGACACAAGCTCAGAGGGAGCGCGGATGGGGTGCCCCAAGGAGCCCCGCGTTAGCCTCCAGGCCAGTGAGCAACCTTCGGAGCATGGATGCTGGGCCCAGCTCAGGACACCGTGCTGGGACCTGCTGCCACAGCTTCTCCATCTCTGCCTCTAGTTTCCGGAGAGCCCGCTGGCTCCGCATCTGCCTGGAGCCAGCCTCTGGCCTTGCCCTGCTTGTGTTAACCTGCGCATTTCAAAGAGGGATTGCATTTGTAAATGTGCATAAAAGTGAGCCAACTTCACAGGCTGACCCCATTCCTCCTGCTTCGCCTTGTTCCTGGGGGCTGGGCTGGGAGAGCTCGGCCACTCTCACTGGTCTGGGCAGCTGAAGGACCCGTCGACCTCGCTAGTGGCTTTGGGGAGCAACGTCAGGCTCTCAGCGGTCAGGGCTGATGGCCCAGACCGTGGCCTCCCCACCTGCACTGACCTATGACCACTTGTCTCTTACTCAGAGTGCTGGGCCCCAGAGACGCAGGCTCCACTGGCCTCCAAGATTCCATGTCCTCGTGGCCCAGTGACTTCCACAGCACTGTGGCCCAGACCAGCCTGTGGCGCCACCGTCGGAGATCCTGCTCCAAAGCAGGGAGACAGGACACCCTGGTTGATTAGTGGTTGGCTGCTGTTCTCCATCTTCGTGCACGGCTGCCCCCCAAGAGCCTCCGTCCGTCCGACTGTCTATTGAGGAGAGGTATTTTCTGCATGTTTCCCCAAATGAGGCCAAGGCATGGTCACAGAGCTGCCTGGAGGCTGGTGTTTAACCAGGGACCAAGCAGCAACAGGAGGGGACTGGGGTGAGCTCCCTGGGAGACAGGGCTGCTGCCTGCTCTCTGTGGGTTCACCCAGACCCTCCCACTCTCCTCCTCCAACTGATCCCAGGAGGGAGAGAATTCCATTTGCGACTGGCATTGTTTGTGAACCTGGCTTTGGAGAAGAGTGGGGTTTAGCCTGGGGCAGACCAGCCCTGTGTTAGTCTGGGTAGACTAGAGAAACAAATTCAGGGACCCTCATGTGTGTGTAAGAGAGAACTTTATATCAAAGAGCAGTTGTACATCCCAGCCAGTCCAAGTCAAGTCTGTAAATCCAATATTAGCCCATATGTCCATTACCAGTCTATAAATTCTTCTTCAGACTCACGCAGCACCTGCAATGATGCCGAATGCAGGAAGAAAGATCGCAGGCCAGTGGGTGGAAAGTCCTGTGGATCCAGTGGTGGTGGAAGCATCTCATCACTGGTGTGGGTCTCCCCCATGGCTCCGCCAGCTCCAGGGCTCTGGCTGCCATCAGCCACGTGGCTTGTCAACAGGAACGTCTTGTAGGGAGACAACAGAGAAAAGTCAATGCAGAGAGAGTGTCTGCCCTTCAGTGAGCTCTTTATCTCCTTCACACCTCCCAAATGAAGTCATCAGGCTGCTAGGCTCCGCCCCTTCACAAGTTGACAGGAGATTATGTAACTACCACAGGCCCCCTCTGCCCAACCAGTTGGTGGAGACAGAGGGTGCCCAGCAGGAAGTGACATCCCAAGCTGGGAGACACAGCACCAGGTCTACCCTTGTGGTGGGTAACTGAGGGTGAGGTGGTCAGGAGGGGTCTTCTCTCTTCCTGACTCACAGGACAAAGCTCAGCCTTGAGGTGGGCACTGGGCAGCCCTATGGTAGCCGCTCCACTCCGGATGAACCTCTCTTGGCCCGTGCCCCCACCCTCGCCCCCCACCTCTGGCCCGAGTCTCCACTCTGTCCCGCAGACCTGCCTTTCCCTCGATGCCCACACCATACAATCTTGGTTGGAGTTTGGGGGGGGGTTGTGGGGGGAGAAATGGCTAAGTGCTTGGCAGCTAACTGAAGGGGACGGCGGTTCAATTCCACGCACGGGTGCCTCGGAAGAAAGGCGTGGCGAACAACATCTGAAACAGCAGCCACCGAAAACCTAGTGGAACCCGTGCAGTTATCTTCTGACCCCGCTGTGACTGGTTTTCCCCTGTCCTGATTCCTGGGGGTGCACAAAGGGGCTTCAGGACGTTCGCGGAAAAGTTCATTTTCCTTTGATGCCATTTTCCCAGGAACTTTGGGAAGAACCCTTGTCGGACAACCCCACCCACCCACCCACACATACATCTCTCAGGGTAATTGCAACACATAGTAGGCCTGCAGAACGGAGCAGCACTGACCCATCAGGTCTCCAAGGTGGTCCATCTTCCAGGGGAGCAGGCTACCTCCTCTTTCCCCAGCTGGGGTCCAACCACTCACCTTTCAGGGAGCAGCCCAGTACTTAATGCATTGCACCACCAGAGCTCCTGGGAGGATATCTGCGGGGCCTTTAAGATGTTGGGGGGGAGAGGGGGCCCTGCTCTTTAAAGCAGGTGAATAAGCAAATGTGGTGAAGAAAGCTGATGGTGCCTGGCTATCAAAAGATATGGCATCTGGGGTCTTAAAGGCTTGAAGGTAAACAAGTGGTCATCTAGCTGAGAAGCAACAAAGCCCACATGGAAGAGGCACACCAGCCTGTGTGATCACGAGGTGTTGATAGGTCAGGTATCAGGCATCAAAGAACAAAAAATCATATCACTGTGAGTGAGGGGGAGTGCAGAGTGGGGACCCAAAGCCCATCTGTAGGCAACTGGACATCCCCTTACAGAAGGGTTGCAGGGAAGAGATGAGCCAGTCAGGGTGCAGTGTAGCAACGATGAAACATACAACTTTCCTCCCCCCCCCACTATCATGATCCCAATTCTACCCTACAAATCCACCTAGACCAGAGGATGTACACTGGTACAGATCAGAGCTGGAAACACAGAGAATACAAGGCTGGTAAACCCCTCAGGACCAATATTGAGAGTAGTGATACCAGGAGGGGAAGGGGAAAGTGGGGGGAGATAATGGGAACCGATCACAACGATCTAACTATAACCCCCTCCCTGGGGGATGGACAACAGAAAAGTGGGTGAAGGGAGACATCAGACAGTGTAAGACACACAAAAAATAATAATAATTTATGAATTATCAAGGGCATGAGAGAGGGTGGTTGGGGGATGGAGGGCAAAAAAATGAGGACCTGATACCAAGGGCTCAAGTAGAAAGAAACTTTGAGAATGATGATGATGATGGCGACAAACAAATGTGCTCGACACAATGGCCGGATCTATGGATTGTGATAAGAGTTGTACAAGCCCCAGTAAAATGATTGAAAAAGAAAAGATAATGCCCTGTACTCTAGTTTGGTGAGTAGAATCTGGCATCTTAATAGTTTGCAGGTCACACTACTCCCAAGAATCTAGGCCTGGAAAGAACCCATCTGCCTATCAATGGGAGAGTGGGTAAAAAGCCATGGCGCACACACACCATGGAATGCTACACATGCTCATCCGAGGGATGGCTCATAACCTGGAGGAACCCGGGGGACATTGTGCTGAGCACCTAGGTGGATAACAAGGACAGGTGCTGCACGAGCCCACTCTCATCACAAGTCAAGAAATGGTTTTCACGTCAAAGAATCTTGGATGGCTACCAGGGGAAGGGAGGGCGAATCGCCAACTAGAGGGTTGTTATTAGGTACCGTCAATGGGCTCCGGCCCATAGCGACCCTGTGCACAACAGAAGGAGCGATTGCCCGGTCCCACAGCTTCCTCACCATTGTCCCTCTGCCTGAGCCCATGGTGGCAGCCCCGGTGTCAACCCATCCTGTCAAGGGTCTTCCTCTCTTCCGCTGCCCCTCGACATTCCCAAGCATGATGTCGTTGTCCGGGGACTGGTCTCTCCTGACAACATGTCCAAAGCATGTAAGATGACGTCTTGTCTTCCTTGCCTCTGCTAGAGGATAGAGACCTTGTCTACTAGAGGGTAGGCACCTCTTAAGCTGGGTAAAAAGGAAAAAGAGGAAGAGGAAGAAGGAGAGGAGAAGGAGAGATGACTTGTATCACTTCCAGGACAAGGCTTTTAAAGGGTGCCTCTGTCTCTTCCCTTCCAGCAGCTGCATGCAGAAGACAGCGTGGTCAGGCGGCCTCGGGAATGGAGAAGCCCCAGTTGGAAAGGGGCCTGCCACCCCGAGTCACCACATGGAGGAGAGTGTCGTATAAAGCACTATCCTCACCATCGTTCTTACGTCTGAACTCAGCGCTGCAGCAACTGTGTCCATCCTTCTTGTTGCGGCCCCAGCGTGTTACCAAGCATGATGCTCTTCTCCAAGGACTGGTCTCTTCTGGGAACAGGTCCAGTGAACATGGATGACGTCCTGGTGGCATAGTGGGTGATGCATGGGCTGCTGGCCAGAAGGTCGGCAGTTCGAATGCACCAGCCTCTCTGAGGGAGAAAGAGGAGGTTTTCTACTGCTGCCACAGAGTCCCAGCCTCAGAAGCCATGGGTTCCCTACAGGCTGCTGCGAGTTACAGTCAGCTTGATGGCAGCGAGTTTGGGTGTGACACTGGCTGCTTGTGCACACGGTGGCCATCAGTCCAGCACTATTTGCTGTAAAGATCACTCTTGCCCCACTTTCCTGTTCAATTGCTTGGCACTTTGGTAAAAAAAAAAAAAATCTAATCAATTTGTCATATTTTTAAAAATCTATTTCTGAGCTCTCTAATCTTCCTATTAGACTTGAGATTTATCCTTATGCTAATACTCTACTGTCTTGATTACTGGCAGTTTATAATGAGTCTTGAAATCAGGTAATGTAAGTCCTTCAAGCTTGCTCTTCCTTCCAAAAATTGCTTTAGCTCTATTGGCTCCTTTTAATTTCCATATAAATTGTAGAAGCAGTTTGTCATTTTCTGCCAGAGAGCCTGCTGAGATTCTGATTGGAATTGGGTTGATATTTGAGGTCAAACTGGGAAACAAAAAAAAATTTCTTAAAAATATGGAGAAGTGAAGATCACTGATTGAAGACATGTCTTCTCTGTGCTCAAAGCCTGCTGTCCTAACTACCCAGCAGAGAAAGAAGGGCATGAGGTGGGTCTTGATAGAGGAGGGAGAATGTCAGACATGATGCTCACCTGTTAACGCTGCAAAGGTGTTAGACTGCGGGGACCGTGACAAATCATGGACAACGTGGTAAAGAATTGGGTGAATTGTGCTCACAGCCCTCGCTGCCATCTGGTCATTTCTGACTCACAGTGACCTGGAGGACAGTCGAGCTGCCCCTGTGGACTTCTGAGACGGTAACTCTGTACAGGAGTAGAAAGCCTCGTCTTCCACCTGAGGAGCAGCTGGTGGGTTCAAACTGCTGACTTTGTGGCTAGTGGCTCAACCCATAACCCAAGGCACCACTGG